TGATGATCCAGGAAAATCTTTTTCTTATGCTGCTTCACTTACCTGACCTTTGACCATGTGGAAATACCCATGCAAGTTCTGACTTTCTAAATGTCAAATCCTGCCCTGGGCAGTGTTGGGGCCTGGCTGTTTGCCAGACAGACATGCAGGTTTAATTCAATTACTTAAAAAGCTCTACTAAATATTTTTTTTTTCTTTTTTGTAATCTAAAGTGACAAATATAACAGTTATTATAAAACCCTTAACCACCTAGCATTTAATAGCTGAGTAGAACTGAGTTGGCGTTAAAACTGCTTTTTTTTTTAGAAGGGAATATTTGCCAGTGTAACATGCATTAGAGATGTGAGGATTTCACCTTGATCTATGTCCGATTTAATCAGCTGGGGAGCGACTCTTAAAGGAAATCTTTCCATTCTGTTTTGCATGTATTACTTTGTATCTTTTACGGGAATATCTGCCTCATCCTCTGCATTAAATTGTTTCCAAACATTGCGGTGTTTTAGACTTGCTTCATGACATGTTTGAGTGAATGGACAGTGAGAAGATATTTAAAGGAACACTGCTCCCTGTATACAAAACCGTGATATAAAACTGATGTTGCTTAGTCCTGTCAGGAATTAATGTCCTTCTGAGACCCATATAGATATTAATGTGTACAGGTACAGCATCTAATCTGAAACATTTTTTTGAGCAGATACTTGAAAAAGCTGCAGAGATTGCAAGACAAAGTGATAGCATGAGTATGGCGGTAAGTTCCAGGACATTTCATTTATTTTCCATTCAAACCTATAAAAGCAACCCAGAACCCAAATGGCTGGTATGGTAGAGAAAAGACGAAAATTAAATTGGATCAGCAGCCCAAGTATGGTAAAAACTGACCCCAGCTAACAATCTTAGAGCAATCTGAATGTCAGTAGTGTCACTATAGAGATGTGGACCGCACCCAGGTGACACCCGCCAGAGGGGCGACACCAGACCCAGACAGACCGGCACCCGCATCATCCCTTACCACCTGTCATGCTAGAGGAGGAGCCTGAAAGGACCTCCCGTACACCCCTCTGTGGCCAGCCCGCTTCACTCAGAGACCAGTCAGTGTCCTGGCTCATCACTATAACTACCAACCCTAGTGATGCCACTGGTTGGGAGCAGCCATGAGCAGGATCTGATTAAAAGCCACAGCCCTCACCACCACTGGAGGATCCACCAGGAGCGATCCTCTTTAACGTTCAGGTTTGCTATGGTCTCCAGCATAGCTATCATCCTGGATGGTACTGGGGACTACCGTCCCGAGCTGTCTATACCCTTGCACCTGCATGATCATGCCCCGTGACTCCTCACCACCTGAGATGGGCATGAACAGCACCTACACAACCCTAACAACACTCCAGGCACTGCCCCCTATCACCACCGTATCAGACAAATTCCACCATCACCACCATTTGTGGCTGTCTGGAATGTCAGTGGTAGCTTCACCCTGATGAGGGATGACGGGGATCCCCTCCATGAACGACCTACATGTACAGCCCCTACAAGGACATGACTGGAATGGGGCAGAGCTTGTTCTCCTTGACAGCTACTCCTCTAGGCAATGGCTTAGGGCTCCATTCACAACATCCAACAGAGCCTGCACAACTATGCACACAACAAGATGCTCAGCCCAAATATTGATGCCCACACTGCCATGCTGGCAAGAGGCAATCGGCACTTCCCCAGGGGGCTGGCTACCCCAACATCTTATATGATGTCTCTCTTCAATGGGATGCACCACCCTGGCCATACTCAATCTCATGGGCCCGTGTTGACCTCTAGCCGTGACAGACCACCCTCCTCTTCCGGGTCCCAGCTGAGCAACTCTGGACAGTTGGAAGAGATCAACACCAAAAAAGTGGCGCAGAGAATCACAGCTGAACTCAAAAGGTACAGCATCCCCCAGGCTGTCTTCAATGGTGTGCCATGGAGCTTTAGTGGGTTTGGGGTGTGCACCATGACCGTGCACTGCCGGTCTGAGACTAGCCTGCCCATGGGGGGGGGCATGTTTTGCTGCACCAGGTGACACAAACTCTAGTGACACCACTGCTGAATATGTTCCTTAAGGCGGCCATAGACTGTTCGAATCTCAGCCTGTTCAGCAGGGATCGACCAAGATTGGAACCATGTATAGGCAGGGTGAATGTACCTATTGTTAGATTAACTTGGGTGCAACCAGACTGTCAGATTTTACATGCGAATATTGCTGGCAGCTATTATAGCTGCTAGCAGTAATCACTTTGGGGACGGCTCCCCATCCTCCTCCCAGGAGGACACAGTGGCTCTGCAACCATGTTTGCAGGAAAGAAAATCACTCCATCTATGGCCAGCTTTAGGTATCCATCATCCAAATCTTACAGATCTGGCTGTGTGTATGCATGGTCAACTCTGGTAGTGGTCCAGTTTATTACATTCGGCACAGGGGTAGGATCTTTTAAGGGGTTTCTGTAAATATTCCTGTAATGTACCATTAATGTCATACTGGGTTCTTAAATGTTTTAGTATGTTTTGGAAATGCCATATGTACTTCAATACTGCTTACCTGTAACCATGACTTCTGTAGTAAATTGGGATGTGGAAGAGTTAGACCTTTCAGGCAGAGTTAAATTTGGCACATCAGTGCAAAGGACATCAACTCAATTTTACTGCACAGCTATTTTACAAAAAGTGGGTGAGGGTTTCACAAGTCAACTGTCTGCTTTTCTGATGTATGAGCATCACTTGGTGGCAGGGGGAAAAGTATGCAATATATTGTGTTTGTTTACACCAAAATAAACTTTAGTTTAATTTTCACAAAAAAATTGTGCTGGATAAACCATTGTGCACATGTCGGCTCTCTGCTTTCAGAAAATATATAATAACCACTTACATACCAGTCTGTAATACCTTTTCAATACCAGGCCATTTTTAAGGTTTCAGGGCTGTGGTAGTTTTACTGACAATTCCTCTGTTATGAAACACTGCATCCAAATGAGTTTTATATAAATTTTTTTTTTTTTTTTGACACAGCTTTCTTTTTGCGATATTTTAAATCAGTATTTTTAATTTTTTTTTTAACTTAGAACCCCAAACAATATATTTTTTTGAAAACCTTCGAGAATAAAATGGTGGATGTTGCAATTTTTTTTATGTAGCATGAGATTTGTGCAGCTGTTTATCAAACACAAATTTTCAGGGAAGAATACACATAAATTCATTTTAGTGCCCTTGCAGGGGTCAGTCAGTCCCGTGTCCTCCATTGCTGGACTCTGTGTTGTATAGTTTTGTGTTTTGCTGAGCCTTGTGGTTGTTTATACAGGCAATGTTTAATGGTACGCTAGTATAGTTAATAAATAACAGGCCCTAACTACAGTTTCATCCCACAAACCTATAGAGATTTTCAAATCCTGCTAAGATGTTCAGTCTTTAAGTTACCAGTTACCAAACTGAAATTTGTATGCTAAAGGGATGGAAAAAAGCAGTACACAGTTCCTTTAAAAAATCCGGTAGTTTAGAGGAATCCTTTACCAAGAGAATGTGGAGGTTTCCTTTATTGACCTCTGCTTTTGCAAAATGTTAGCTGCCTGGCTGTCATACTTGATGTATGCTCATTACCTTCAGTGGCACTGAGCTGGAAAAAGTATTCAGATTAGGGGTTCTGATTTCACCCTTTCCAAACTGCAGAATTGTTCTGGGTCAGCAACCCAGAAAGTATTGACACCAGAGACAGCCAGGTAAATAATATTTTTAGAAGTAGGTCAGCTGTGTCAGACCCAATATTTCTCTTATTACAGGTTTCCTTTATAGAAATAGAATGGTTTTGATGAAAAATGTACCAATATTGAATGAATCTGTCATTATATTCAGGTTTTGTGCAAAATGCTTACTTGTTTCCTTGTAGAATCTAAACGTTTGTCTTCAGCAGTGTACTCCTAAGTCATGCAGATTTAGTATTTTACCATATTGCAGCTAATTTGGCTTGGGCTGTCTGGATGTTACTTAGGTATATAAAATTCATGAGACGTTTCCTGGTAATTCTGTGTGGTTTCAGCTTCCAGCAAAGATTATACAAATAATGGCTTTTTTTTTTTTTGAGTGTATTTGCTGATGTCACAGGTTTGTTTTTTTTTCTTACAGACTTGTTACTAATGCTACTCTGCCACCTAGTGGACATTTTGATTCATTAACCTGTAATTGAATATGCTGAGAATACAATTGTTGGTAATCTTGATAGTAACTAGTTGACTAGAAGCAGACCTAGATGTGTGGTGGGGATTGTGGCTGGTTTTCATCACTATGAAAGATAACTTGCATTAATAAAACCTTTTCTTTCCCATCAATTACCCCCTTTGACTGACAGTGGACTAAAATTTTCTGTTTGGCTATCTTTATATTCAAGAAGAAAAAACCCTAAAAGGGTCCCTCTCACCAGCTTACTTGCAGAGTTTTTCTTTTCCATAAGTGTAATTTAGTTTTTGCTAACTTGCAATGTGCTTTTGAAATAGCTAGACAATTGACTAGTGCCCTAACACAGCCTAGCGATGCTGAGGTGGGTAGGAGCAAAAGTTAATCCTAGAGAGTGGCATTTGAGTGAGAGCTCTGAGTTTGCTGAAGCTGCTGACATCACATCCAGGATGGCAGCACCCAGCAGCAATCTCTGTGCTTTTGGATGTCTACACAAGGGAGACTTTTACATGTCCATAACAAACCTAAAATATGTTGAAAGCACATATCATTTTTGCAGGAAGATTTTGTTGAAATGAATGGTTTGCCAACAGGATGTTTATTAACTAGTTGCCGACCGCAGATAGCCGAATGACGGCTGCACTGCGGCCGGCCAGTTCTAGGTGGACGTCATATGACGTCCCCCCAGAACGCGCTCTCCTGCGCACCCCAGGGGGCGCGCACCCGGCGATCTCCATGATCGCTGTGTCCTACGGACACAGCTGATCACGAGATGTGGTAAAAGGCCAATCATACCAGCCTTTTACCACGTGATCAGCGGTGTCCAATGACACGCTGATCACAGGGAAATGCAAGTGCCGGTTCTCGGCTGCACTTTCCTCACGCTGTCCGATCGTGAGGAAAGTACTGCCGAGAACCGGCAGTTGTCAGAGCGAGGATCGGCACCGATCATCAGGGCACTGATGATCAGTGCCCTGATGATCGGTGCCCAGCAGTGCCACCCACAAGTTCCGCCCACCTGTGCCCAGCAGTGCGCCCACTAGCTCTGCCCACCTGTGCCCAGCAGTGCACCCACCTGTGCCACTCTGCAGTGTCGCACACCTGTGCCCAGAAGTGCCACCTACCTGTGCCCAGCAGTGCCACCCACCTGTGCCCACCCACCTGTGCTCACCAGTGCCACCCACCTGTGCCCACCAGTGCCACCCACCTGTGCCCACCCACCAGTGCTGCCCACCAGTGCTGCCAGTCAGTGCCATCAGTCAGTGCCCAGCGGTTGTGCCAGTCAGTGCCGCCAGTTAGTGCCCAGCAGTGATGCCAGTCAGTGCCGTCTATCAGTACCCATCATCAGTGTCACCTATCAGTGCCGCCTATCAGTGCTGCATATTAGTGCCGCCTATCCGTGACACCTCATTAGTGCTGCCTATCAGTGCCGCCTATCCGTGCCACCTCATTAGTACTGCCTATCAGTGCCCATCAGTGCTTCCTCATCAACGCACATCAGTGAAGGAGAAAAATTACCTGTTTGAAAAATTTTATAATAGAAACAAACTTTTTTTTTTTCAAATTTTTTGCACTTTTTTAATTTATAGCGCAAAAAGTAAAGCGCCCAGTGGCGATTAAATACCACCAAAAGAAAGCTCTATTTGTGAGAAAAAAATGATCAAAATTTCATATGGGTACAATGTTGCATGACCGCGCAATTGTCAATCAAAGTGCGGCAGCGCTGAAAGCTGAAAATTGGCCTGGTAAATAAGGGGGTATAAGTGCCTGGTAGGCAAGTGGTTAATGATAGCTTATTTTTAATGGTGGGAGAGCTATGAAGCTTTTAATTTATACTCGTCTTGAGCTGATGGCATTCATTATGTGTATTTTCTCATTGCTCAGGGTCGTGGAGGAAAGAAATTTAACATTGAGCTGAAAGAGATCATGGAGAGGGATCCACTTTGCCAGCTGTGTGAGAATGAGAAGGATCTAATTTGGACCTTGCGGTACGACTGTAGAGAAAACTTCCCCTGTTCACTCCCTAAACTACTATTGTCTGTCAAGTGGAACAAACTTGAAGATGTTGCCCAGGTAAGAGATGTGTTCTACTAGAGACATAAAGGTTGTAGCAATACAGAGCACAGTAACTATCACAATTTTAGATTAAATAACAAGCATTATAGTTCATTGTGCAGTTACTAAACAAATGAATGTTACTTAATTGCCTGAACCTTTTATATTACTGTAGTATAGTAAAAAAAAACACATTCAGCTTGCTTTCTGTTGCTATTGCATATCAGTGTTGCCAACCCCCCCTAAGTGGATTTTACTGACAGGACGCCAAAAATGTACTGACACCAATGTTTTTTTGTTTTTTTTTTGTTACTGTCAAAACTCATGAAATTTAATGACAGATCCAAATTCTTTGCTGACACTTCAAAAAAGTACACAAAATTATCATTTTCAGTGCGAATATCAATATTTAAGCTACAAACCTGTACCTGGTGCTATTAGCAATGTGTTTAAGGTATAACAAAAGGCAGAAGAAGAAAATTCTCCACTTACATGAAGGTCAGGTTAACATAACCCAACACAGAGTTTCCCCTTACATCAGAGTTTGCAGGATTTTTCTTTACATCATGGTCAGCACAGTTTCCTTTTACATCAGTGTTCGCAGAGTTCTCCCTTGCACTGTAAAAGAGAACTCTGAGGACTCTGATGTAAGGGGGAGTGCTGCAGACTCTGATGTAAGGGGGTCTCTGGTCACCCCCCCTACATAAAAGTTCAGAGCTCCCCTTAACATCAGACTCTACAGAGTTCCCCTTTACATCACAGTCCACAAAATTCTCCCTTACTTCAGAGTCCACAGAGTTCCCTTTTTATATCGGGGTCTGCAGAGTTCCCCATGCACTATAAGGGAAAATCCTGCAGACTGCGAAGTAAGGGGGAATGCTGGGAACAGGCCACCTTCTGCAGAGTGAATACACGAAGGTAAGGGAGAATTACATATATCTGTAAGGGGGAACCTTTATATCAGTGTCCACCCTTACCTTAGTGTATTCTTTGCCCCTCACATTAGTGAATCCCCCTGCAGACTTTGTGTGGCCACTGGAGGCTGGAGCTGCCTGTCACTGACCTCCTCCATTGCTGGCTTGTGTACAGGGCAGTTAGGCTTGGTCCTCCAGATGGCTGCTCTCATCACCATGTTTATCTTCTTGTTCAAGTTCTCCTCCAGAGTCCATGTCCAGTCCTCCAGTGAGTGAGACAGTCCCGGCCAGGGTTTGCAGTGGGCCTTACCCCTCATTTCATAATTTATCTGTACACCCCTTCCACCCCATTCCATTACTCATCTCTGCAATGCCCCCCAATTCCACCACTTATCGCTGTACTCCCCATTCTGCTACTCACCTCTGCACCCCCCTACCCCCATTCCACCACTCACCACTGTACCTACCCCTCTCCTATTCTCCTATTCCAGCTCTCACCTCTTAAGGCATCTTCCCATCAGTGGGGGGGTCGCTCTCCCTCCCCCTCCCCATCCATGGACTTTCCCTGCCCTCCCTTCTTTGTCTACCCCCCCCCCCCCCATCTCACCCCAACAAACAGTACAAGGAGACGACATGATTAAAATACCCCAAAGCACCTCCCAACACCCAACCTGTCCTCATATAGTACAGCAGGATACTGTATGTTCCATTATCTTCATCCTCTGTATTCTACCAACATCTCCATTCTCTGTAGATATTCTACCATCATCTCCACTCCATCCTCTGTATGCTCCTACTCTTGGCTCCCTCCCCCTCTACTCAGTCCTCTGGCTCTGAGTCCTTGACAGTGCAGTTGAGGCCAGCCGAGCACGCAGCCATTATTTTTTGCTTGGCCGCTGTCTGTATTAGACATTTATGGTCAGTATGTAAATCAGCTAAAATTTACAAACTGTCCGTAAATTCATGGATGGTTGGCAACACTGTTGCATATACATGTACTGAATATTGTGCTATAGATGTGGTATGGTAAAGGTACACTGCTAGCTGAGCATCTCTGAATATAATCCAGGTATTCAACCTCTGCGCAATCTACTGTTTACATTATTGTTTCCAGTAGCCTTAATCTTCTGATTGGCCCTGAATCTAAGGCTGGTGATACATGGATCAGCTTTTTTTTTTTTTTTTTTTTAAATAAGCCAGTGGGCTCATCAAAAAAAACGGAATGGTTTTCCCCATTCACACAAGCGAGGTGGATGGAGGAATTCTCCCACTGTGTTAAAGTGAAGCCCTACCCAAAAGGGGAAGTTATGCTTTAAGTACTGGTCCCCTGCTTCCTGTGAGGAATTGGCACCTTTTGGGAGCAGGTGGGGGGAGTGGCTACCCGATTTTGACAGGTACCTGATTGGAAGCGGAGAAGTTGTCGTCCTCTTTCCCCCCCAACCACCTAAAGTTTTTGTAACTGCTGACTTATTTTTTTTTTATCTTTGACTGGAGTTCCACTTTAATGTATTCTGACAGCGGGACTCCTCTAGCACACTAATGCTAAATATTAGATGGAAGACTGCACAAGAGTATCATCTTGACATGTTAAAATGGAAGTGCAATTAGATTGCATATTCAATGAAAAATGGTTGAAAATGTTCAGCCTGAAAGACTGACCTTTTGTACTGTCTTTATGAAACAAACCTGTAACTTCTTCAGACCACTATTTTATGAGAAGCCATAGATACTGGCATGTCAGACAAGGTTTAGCATGTTACTAACAGACAAAGCAATGGGTTACAACAAGTAGAGTAGGTCATGTGAGTGGTCTGGGGGTAACTCAGTTCAATTTCATTAGCAGCTTCTTTAATCATTTGTAAAGCTACTATGAACTGATTTTTCAGCTTCAAGATGCCTATCAGCATTTCTGCTTAGGACCAGAAATAAATTGGCATTTTACATTAAGAGCAAACACAGCTGTACAGGGCCGTAATAAGATGGTTTCCTGTCTGCATTCACTGATTGGAGGTTGTATGGATGCAGTGCTGTTTTTAGACATCCTTTGGTCTCTGGGCGTCCTTCGGGTTAGCATTTTGATGGCTGATTATCTGTGCTGGTCACAGAGCTCCTCTGTAGCCCTTGCTTCCCTTCCAGATTTATAGCAGCGGAATGTAAACATGAAGCGAGCTGTATTTTTGGAATTTCCTTGCTCCTGTCAGGTCACTCAGACCTCTGTTTCCTTCCAAACCACGGCCTGCACACTGACTTCCAAAAGACGCAAGACATGATTTCCTCCAATCACAGCTTGACTCTTACTGTTCAGGGGGGAATCTGAAAATTCCTACAGATTAAAGATCCATGACTGGAAAACTACCATGTATGTCTGGGACCCCGTCTTTTATACTGGATCACTTTCTCCATGTAAAACATTTCTACATACATATGTATTTTGATCACCAGATTTTAAAAGTCAGTGTTTGCTACCACAACCTTAAAATAAAAAGCATTTTGTAGGAACGAGTTATTAGTAAAAAATACAACCTTCCAATTTTAAATAAGCTTCTACCTCTCCTGAAGACACCAGTTGTCTAACCTGCTTTCTGCATGATTTGATTCTGCCACCATTAATCAACCCATTTGCTGAAACACTGTAAATCTCCCTTTTAGGCTGAATTCTCTAAAATTATACAAATAGTAGAACAGGGAGAGGACACCTCTATGTATTTCCGTGGCAAGTACAGAAATTATGTGCACAACAATTAGTCATTCAATTAAAAATGTGTAGGTTAAGGTACTTTATTAATTAAATGCCATTTCCTAATGCCCTGATTATTGTTAGATATACAGTGGTCAGCATAAATGAGTACACCTCTTTTTGAAAAATAAGATTTGAATCAATATCGCAGTTAACACAATTTGCAACATTTTTACAAAACCGAGTTTTATAGAACATTTGTTTAGCTCGTTACATGAAAGTAAGGTTAATAATATAACTTGGGTTACAAAAACCAGTTTTACTCAAATTAGCTGATGCAAAAATTAATACACCCAGAAACAAAAACTACTACATCTAGTATTTTGTATAACCTCCATGATTTGTAAGAACAGCACCAAGTCTTCTATGCATGAAATGAAAAAGTTGGCAACATATTGCAACATCTATCTTTTTCCATTCTTCAAGAACGACCTCTTTTAGAGCCTGGATACCTGGATGGAGTATGATGCTCAATTTGTCTCTTCAGAATTGCTCATAGATGTTTGATTGGGTTCAGATCAGGAGACCTACTTGGCCACTGAATCACTTTCACCCTGTTCTTCAGAAATGTGTGTTTTTGGATCATTGTCATGTTGGAAAAGTGCACGACGACCAAGGGCATGGAGTGATGGAAGCATCTTATCTTTCAATATAGAGCAGTACATCTGTGAATTTATGATACCATTAATGAAATGCAGCTCCCCAACACCAGTAGCACTCAGGCAGCCACACAGACACTGCCACCACCATGTTTCATTGTAGGTACCATGCATTTTTTGTTGTACTTCTCACCTTTATGACGTCATACAGTTTTGAAGCCATCATTTCCAGAAACATTTATCTTGGTCTCATCACTCCAGAGTAAAATCCCAGTAGTCATCTTTTTTCAGCATGGGCCCTGGCAAATTCTAGCTGGCTTTTTGTGCATGAGCTTTAGGAGAGGCTTCCTTCGTGGACAACCATGCATGCCATTCCTCTGCAGTGTACGCTATATTGTGTCACGGGAAACAATCACCCCAATTTGGCTTTCTACTTTAGCTGAATGCAGTGAATTTGCATGGCGACTTTGTTCAGCTTTTCTCATCAGAAGATGCCCCTGTCGAGTTGTTAATGTCTGTGGATGGCCAGGATGTCTCTGGGAGATGGTTGCAGTTCCATCTTTGTTAAACTTTTGTACCACTTTTTCTACAGTATTTTGACCGATTAGTGTTTATACAATCCACCCCATAAATCCGTACATATATTTGCTATAAGTGTTCAAAATATATAAAAAAAAAAGTCCAAAAAGAAATAAAATATAAGTCCAAAAATTATGAAAATAAAAATGAAAGTCCTTCCAATCTTTCCAATCCTTTCTCATGATGATA